AGGCCTTGCCGGAGAAGTGGCCCTGGTCGTGGCCATAGCCATGGCCGTGGTAATGATCGTAATGATGATCGGGGTAGTAGGATGCCGATGCAACGGCGACGAGAGCACAGAGGATGAGAAATTTCATGGCTGTGGTGGGTTTGTTTGAACACTGCCGGATCTTGGGCCTTATATGGCAGTGTATTCGGCGCAATTCTCATCGATTTGTAAATGCACTGTGTCATCTGATTTTTAGATGTCATAGTGAAATATTGATTTTTCGAAGTGAGCTAGTGTAGGTTTTGTGTGCAGCTGTCTGTGTGATCGCAAATTGTTTTAGCCCAATGCTGCATACCAACATTATGGGATCCCCTATGCAAGGAAATTGTGCCTGTGTCTAGTGGTCAAGCACTATTGTTCTAGGTTTGATGACGTAAGCATACATTTTGTAGGCAACATCGTGGTCAGCAGTATTAAATACGTAGTCATTTTCTTATCTGAACAAATGAGGTGGTCAGCGTATTGAGTCACGCTTGGCCGCAGTTTCTTGCGCACGATCGCTCTCACCAGAGGATTCTGAATTTATCTTTTTTGACAACCCTCCCATCAACCTGCACCTTACGCTTTACGCGGGATTTTCAGTAGCATCATAGTTCTGACTGTAATCATGAAGACAATTTTTGCAAAATTTGACGCATAGCGGAAGGTATTGCGGCTATAACTATTCCTCTATCAAGTTTAGGCTGTGATGGGAGTTATCCCTATCATCATTTATGAACAAATCTGACCACTGCTGTTTCTTACTCCACCGCGTACGCACGGAGGTGAACAATTATCCAAAATTCATTTGTCATTCAAGCCTTCTTTTTGGTCATCTAAGGAGGCTTTAGTGAACTGTTTATTCAGTGTCAGCTAACAATAGCGACGTTGCCTGCCTTCGGCAAGCTTTGTATTGAAGAGAGCATGAACCTGCCATAAGGCCTGTAATTTCAGCTGTCAGCCATTGTGTCCGAAAGTGTCCGAAAATTAATGTATATTATTACGGGGATGGGAGCGGCGATGCAGTCAGACCCCACGATCAGAAGCGCACGTGATTTGAGTCATGTGCGCAGACCGGCCGCGCGCGACATCACTTCGAGCGCACGTGACGCTCGCTCACACGTGCAGTACAGATATTCCAGATATGTCTCCCAGGGCCACTGCGTGGGAAAGTATTAATCACTGCCTGAACACTTTGGTTTTCACAATCCTTCTCGTAGCCAATGACATCAGGGAAGATGGTTGTTTTCTTCCTCCTCTATCGTAAATTGCATACCCTGAAAGACGCTACTCAGACATTGTTTGAATGTTAGAGCCTGATGGCGTCCGAGGCTGTCTCTGATGAGGGGTTGGAACGTTAAGCTAAAACGTGAGCCGAGTAACTTTCTTGTTCCAACGATCACGGCTTCTTTTTCTCATTGACTTCGTCAGATCCGCCTTTTCGCTTGTTTCGACCACCAACCATGTCGAAACAAAGTTCATATTTTCTACCTGACGCCACAAACCTAATCGAGACATGAGCATTTCCCAAAAAAAACCCAAGCACCTTTGTTACTTACTCGACGCATGGAAATGTCCAACTGTAATCCTTTCATCACTTATGCTATATTTATAGTTGCCTAAGATGTCCATCCTAAGGGACAGGTAATGGTAATATTAAATGTCGTATTGCTTGCTTGATGAGCGCCTTGCTTCACTTTCTTTTATTCCAGGGTGAGGGGTAGTTAATAGTTCGAATGTCAGTATAATGTAAATATTATGGCTTTTTGCTAACAATAAAGTCCTTTGGGATATAATACAGTTTATTGTGTGAATTTTCGAGTCTGGTTTCGCAGCTAGTCGTCAGATAAATGAGAGTTTTGCAAAAACAGTTTACTGTTAAAGATGATTAAGACTGAGTGAATTGCCGCCAGGAATTCGCGGCCCTTCCTTATTGTGCAGGCGCCATCGATTTCGGTTTTCTCCCATGCAAATGTGTGTCTTGTGTCAAGTGTGTGCATTTTAGCCTCTAAATAGATGGTCCTATCGAATTGGAGTTAAGGCTAAGTTTAACCCTTACCGCTGCGATCTTCCGGGTCGGATTCCTTTGGAGAGGAGAGAGAAGTCATGGGAAGGCCAGAGTGATATGAAGGGTGTATTCTGTACAGGCGGAAAGGAGAATAGTAAGGACAAATCTTTAATGTGGGAGAGCAGTCTAGCCGTGAGGCGGGCAAGGTCCAGAGTCATGTCTGGGGACAGACATTCGAGCGGCCACCGTAAGCTTTCTGTCTTATCCAGCCTTGGAGGTCTTTGATTGGACCGCGCGAGGTTACACACCGTTGTGGGCATGTTAATAGGTCGCGCGTCACTGTTCTGGCCCAAGGCACGCCGGAAACTGCCTTCGCGCGAAGTGACCTCGTCTGTGGCGTCAAGAGTTAGGAGGGCATCGGGCGGCAGCGGCCACTACAGTCTCGTCTCTTCACCGCTAACTGGTGATTATGCAGTTGGGTGGATAGAGGTCTTCCGGTTTGACCGCAATAGACTGAATCACAACTTGTACAAGGTATTTTATGGAAAATTACTTTCGGTTTAAATGGCCAACCCCGTCCTAAGTGTGTATAATATTGGTACGCAAAGTAATTGCCGGCTTGTGCGCAATCTGTATCTGGTGCCCTTGTAGCTGTATTTCAAAGAGCTCAGATACATTCCTTAAATTTGGCCAGTTCGTTGGCTTTGGCGCTTTTGTTATCGCAGCTCTGAAGATACCCCTTTTCTTTGAATTGTTTTTCTCGCATGCATCGACGAACAAAGTGCGGAAGATACCCCTTTTGGGAATATATTTTTTAAAAAGTACTTCCTTCCTGTTCGCTATGCTCCTTCATCCAAACAGTGTAATTTGCTTCTCTGAACAAGCTTTGATAGAGCTACGTTTGTGGGACATTGAATGGTTACTTTCAAAATGTAAGATGACCTCATGACGATTTATCAACTGCAACCCCTCTTTGCAGGACAAAGGTAACGAACGGAGGCACACACGATTTTTAATTTATACAGAATATCAAGCTGCAAGGATCGTAGTTCAAATGATAATTAAATCAAAGACACTACCTTACACCATAGTACATATGGTAGATATAAAAGTGAGCGAGAAGGAAGCTTGCACACATCACTGCCATAATTAGATCTAAGCATCAGATTTACAGAGGACTTCGAGATTGACCACATGTTCTACCTGCTTGCATAGTTCGGGTTTCCCCGCCGTATATAGGTCGCTTCAAAGTAGCGCATGGTCTGATATGTTTGTGCCCGAACATGAAAGCTGTTTTGAGGTCAGCAGGGTGAGCATTGTCTAGCAGGTGTTTAGTAATCGAGGACCGTTGTACTCTATTTCCTTGCTTAAAAAGCCAATTAGGCGCATGCTTGGCAGCCTGGCTACCAATTGTCTTTGCGCACGCCCATTGCGCTTGCGTCAGTTAGTGCATGTGAACTTATGCATACAATTTGGGCGTGGTATGCAACCGCAAGGCATCCTTTGCCCAGTTTATGGGAAGGTCTTTAGTAGGACTGGAGAAGACGAATTCAGCTGCATCATGGTACAGCGCAACCGTTGCTCGATTGTGTTGACAGCAGTATCACCCTTACGTGATAAGGATATAATAACGGAACTGTCTGTTTTATCAGTTTTGACCGTTAAGAGTTGTTGTTGCCACTGTTTAATGAATCTGTTTTGATATGGAGAATTTCTGCGGCTAGGGTCTCATTAGAGCAAATATGCTTCGCTCTTTGAAAATGACTATGCACTAGATTTCCTTTTCATTGTATGGGCACAAAACTGGCAAAATGCAAGTATCGTGCTTCTCGTGCATTTGTTTGGAAAACAGAAACCTATTGGACCACCATCCTCTGCGAACATGAGGACGTCTGGAAAGCGCAACTTTTTACACTGCTGCATTTACATTGTTGCCTACAGGAGCGTATATTGTCTTTTATGGATCCTACGTTAACTTTATACGGGGTTGCTATGATCGTTTTTGCAAAGTTGCCAAAAGCTAGAATTGTGCCGCACAGAAGTTTTGTTTAAATCCAAAAAGGAAAACAACGAACAAGGTCGCAGGGAAAGGAAGTCGTTTATTGTGTCCCTTGAACGGAACTATAAGCACGGGAGGTTATAAAATTGGACCAATCAGATTGTATCCTCATGCGAATAGCGACTCGATTGACCGTCTGGTGCATCCCTGTCCTGGCCGCCTCGAGTGACCTTGACTCCTTCAAGGCGCACACGGACACACGCGCAGCCTTTGTGTGTGGGCGGACCGATAACGTGACCTTAGATCTCGCTGGGGCAGCTCGTTAGGAAGACTCCGAACAGTCTAATTTTTTTAAAGGTAGTTTGAATATATTGACCGGTTTATTTGACCCGCCGAATTCAACATGCTCTGAATATCCTAACAGTGGTTCGTGTGGCGACGAAGGTTAACAACGTTCTGCCATTTTTAAAAGATGCGTGATATGGTGCGGCTCAATATTCCAGATTCCTTATAAAAAACATTTTGTTAAATTTTACCGAAACAGTGGATATGTTTGTAAAAGACTGATATTCAAAGGAAGGTTCCTAGGATGCAGATTTTTACTGCAGCGGACTCGAATGAGTTTGCATTACTCTTAGGCCTCGGAAGCCAAGGGAAAAGCGTTGCAAATAGTGTTGCTGACATTTATCGCAAAATCTTCAACTTCTCTCTCATTAACGTTCCGCTTTGATAAATATTTCTGCTTGCGTCAGAATTAGTATGCCTTTTCGGTAAAATCGATTTGTAGGGCCCCTGTGAATATCTATCACCACCGCCCTACTGCTTAACGTATTTTGTGGCCAAACATTTAATTCTTGGCTAGTGAGCGTAAATTAATATGTAATTGTGGCGGGATTGATCAAAAAATATTAAACTAAATAAGATTAGGTTTGTTTTAATATTCTAAATAGAATCAAATTCAATCAAAATAAACTCCTATTGCGCATGATACGAATGCTAATCGAGGGAACTTCAAGCTTATCCAGGCGGAATTAACGGAAATGGAAACTCATCCTACTACTGGTGAAATTTAATGAAAAAAGTTAGAGTCCGGCTACGAACA